CAGTAAAGCCACAGAAAAATCAGCCTAACAAATGCCGCATTTCGAAAGGAATGTGTTTCTTCCCCTCACCCAACATGCTTCAAGATACAACTGTCTGTTGTTTTCGAGCATTGGTCATGCCCCACAGCAATGTCTCCATTCAAACAACCTGATGATGACCTACATAGACCATGGGAGAAGGGTTCAACTACCCCACCTGCCAGAAGAGGAGAGCACGTATGTTTTCTGACTTTCACGGGACAATCTTAAACACTGCAACACTGGATCCCGGACAGGCAATCTTATTCCTACCTATTGATGCTCATTCATTCTGTATTTGTGATTAGCCACCAGATCAGGAATGGCCCCTCAAGGGCCCCTTCTCTGGTTGTTCTTCACCTCATGCCCCAGAACATCTCCATCCGTGAAATTATTCGAACATTGCCTGGATCCTGAGCAACCTGATTGGCATTGTCTGCATGCATTAAGCTTTTTGCTTTCTGCCAACACTGAGCCATGGTGGCTCTAGGGTATCAGACTTGGCTCTTGACCAACTCCTGTGGCACACTGGTACCTGACACAAGCATCCACACCAAGATGGCTCCTTGCTGAGGTGGTAGGGAGAAGCTGTGAGGATCACAGCGGTAAAAATGAGGAGCACCTATGCACAAAGCGCCACTGGAGAAAAGCAGAGGATGGAGGGTCACTACCAACGATGGGTGGTGAGGAGTCACCCCACAGTGTGTTCCCACACCACATCTGTGTCCCACTCCAGCTGTGCCAAGTCTAGTAGCTTTGGCTGAGGTGGCTGTGGGATGACAACCCCTGACAGAGCAGGGGACCATCTGAAACTGCCACTGCACCTTGATAAAATTGACACATACCAAAACCCCTAGGCACTTTTTTTTTTTTTTTTGATCATTACATTAGGGAAGCCAATTAAGTTGGTGTTCCCAGCCTGAAACACCAAACACACTGTCTTTCCACCCCTCACAGACACGGACAGGCCATGAACCAGCTCAGCTTTGATGCTGTGAGAGTTGCAAAAAGCTCTGTCGAGTTGATTTGACCGTATCTACAAGAGGCAAAACTAGTTTTGTTAAATAGTCTAGTCTTAACGCAGCCTTGCTTATTTTATTAGGAGCTGTTTGCTCAATCTTTTGTAGTCACAAGAACAAAACCCCCAGCTATGCAGCACTTCAAGGATCAGGCTTGAGCCCTGATCCCAACCTTTTTGACATACACGTTTTTGGAAAAAAGTAATTCCTTTCTGCTTTGGATTTAAGCATGCACGTTCTTCTTTCCGCTTTTCTTTTTAAAAAGAAAAGAGCAGGGAAGGGGGATTTGTTGGGTTTTTCGTTGTTAAGAACAAACAAAAGCACGTTATCATTCCAGCTCAGAAAATAAAATATTTTCCTTATTTGCCTTTTCAAAATACCCTTTTCCTTTTATTTAAAACACACCTTTTGTCATTCTCTAATCAGAGCGAAAAAAATTTGATAGGTAATACATAACAAAGTGCTGATTAACGGAAGTTATTCTCATGTGGTTTTTGACTTGTCTGAGCTGAAATTACTTTTCCCACGTTGTTTATTTGATTACGACACATTGTCCCTCACCTACCAACTAAGCCTCTTTCCTTGAATATCCACAGGAAAAGAAGGCGATGCTTGAGACAGTTAAAAGTGTCATTTCGTATTTCAGAGTACTTTCGGTAGCAACAGCTCCATCTCCAAAGTCTGAACCCCCAAAGAATCAGAAGAGATTTCCAAGTCAGAAATACCCTAATATCTGGCTTCTGGGCAAAGATCTGCGGACCCCGAGCAGTCACCCTTCGTCCCAGGGCTCTGCTGTCCACCCCAGGGCTGGACCTTGCCCCAGCCCCAGGAGCTGCCAGGTGCCCAGCGCTCGGTCTAACTCACCTTTCTCTGCAAAGCTACACAGGAAAGGTCACGGAGCCTCCTAGAAGGGAAGGGCACGCGCAGATCTCACCTTGCACACGCAAACTCTGCTAGTTTCTTTTCTCCTTAATCCAGCATGAAACCAATCTGGATTTACACTACCAAAACCTGCTTTTTACTCACAGAACAGAAGCAGCTCAATTAACATCTGCAGGTCTCCGTGTCGTGCCCTCTGGGACCAAGCTGACGAACATAATGACTTTATAAGCCTTTTCCTGCTCTCAGGTCAGCTACTCTGCAAAGGACCCAAGGTGCTCCCTGCTCTTCTTGTACAGATACAGAGCCTCCTCCTGTGCCTCCCGCCTGCTCAGGAATTACTATACTCCAACGCTGTACTTGTACTCGAAATAAATCAACATTTAATATTTTACAATTACTTTAAAAGTTCTTTGAACAGTATTTTACAGATCAGCACAGACATTATACAGATTTGGTGAGGCTGCACATATGTACAAAAATGACCTGAAAGAACGTTGGACTTCTTTTATTTCCAGAAAGCATCAGAGGTCAAAACTTCAGCAAGGATTATAAGTCCCTAGAGTTTGTGTTTGTTTTTCTCTATGAGACGGAAATTCTCTTCTCTAGTATTTCTGTAGGGCCAGCTGAAACCAAAGAGGTTTATATCATTAACAGCAGCAGGGATATATTTAGCCACGGATATCAAGATCACAAACAGCAATATTTTGACAGGATAAGGTGCTATTTTAAAGTATTGAACAAAAGAAACAGCTGTCAAATTTCAGGCCCATTTGAGAAGACACACAGAAACTTGTTTGGGAAATGAAAAGTCAGTGGGAAAACCTTTTCCAAGGGCACGGAAAGACCTATTAAAATCTGTTTCTGATCCCTTGAACCTATTTGACTTAAAATACTGATGTGCAGAAATGCACAGCAGTGACCTCAGCACACGCTCCCACATCGCCCCGCAGGCACCCTGTGAGAGGAGACAGCCCACCATGACCTGGCAGTGTCTTGGTGTCCCTGCCAAGTCCATGCTGTGAGCAAGGGACGGATGCTGCTCCATGCACGCAGGCAAAGACGGGTGCTCCTGGAGTCAGTGTGTGGCCAGGTAAGGTGGGTCCTTACCAGGAGTCCAAGCCAGCTTTGCATCACGGTGGAGCCAGAGCACAGGCTTATGTTCAAGCGATGCTTTTCCCCACACAAGGGTCTTTTCTTGGAGTCCACAAGGCAACACCATCCTTGGGATGGTTTATTCAAGTAGAAGGATGAAGCGCAGAAGCCTCGGGAGCATGCTCATGTCTTGGTTTTGCTCACCTCTGACCACTGGCAGAAGCTGCATCCAGAGCTGCTGAGGACACCAAAGAGCCAGCTAGCACCTCCTTGACCCAAGGTGTCCACCACAGGGCCCAGACCAAGTTGTCCCCAAATAACAGAGGCAGTGGGAACAGAAAGCAGGTCCAGCAGCCAGAGGGGCCAGATCAGAGTCGACAGCAGAGGAGGGACCACCCAAACACTTCCAGGAGGGATGTGGAGGAATCCAGCAGGCAAACCTGACCCACACTCCTCCGAGACAACTGAAGCCCCCATGGGCTCTGGCCCTTCTTCTGGCAGATTTATCCTCAAATGACACTGCTGCTGTGCCCTTGGGGACAGAGCCCAACCTTGTTCTAACTAGTGCTAAGAGCTGACCAGGTCCTGTTTTCTGGAGGATCAAGGGACCTGCACTAACCTGACTACCCTGTGGCTGAGCCCTGCAGCCCTCCAGCAGTACCAGGGGTCCCATCCAGATGTTTCCAGGGAGCACATATCCTCGGCATTAAGATCCTTTCAGCCTGCAGCAGGCAGCATGCTCTTCTGCCTGTTATCATTAGTGCAATCACCAAAAACTACTGAGAAACGGCTTGAGGGCTATGAGACCAGGCAAGGCTTTTCCAGTCTCATTTTTTTGCTCATGGGGTCAGAATACCTCTAAATACCGCCTAATATTGCACCTTTCTGTATCTACAGCCTTGCAAGAGAGAAGGTGGAGGGCAGAAAGCCTCTTTGCAGAGGAGGGGAGATCTCAAATCCTATCATCACTTGGAAGTTTCGCTAGTGTTTTTGGCGCTGGGTCCTTCTCTAGCAAAGCTGCTCCTTCAGGTGAGCTTAAGGCAATCCTAGTGGTTTCCCTAGTATTTCCCTCCCTCCTTTGAGTGTGAGCATGGTTCCTGCCAGATTTCAAGGAACTGTCGAGGATTCAGTCTCTGATGTCTCTAGCGTACAGTGCTGCGGAGTAGGACAGAAGAACCTGGGCTGAACAGGGAGTACATCTCATGGGTGAACTCTGAAATTCTACAGAAAGTGGAAGCTCATCTCCTGCAGATCCTGGATTCCCAATAAATACATGTATACGTGACAAGCTGTCCATGCCCCGGTATGGCCTACTGCACTCAATTCACTGGAACACAAGCAGCAGTCTACAATCCACGCTGGGGTCTTTCTGGGCTTCAGCTGTGTTGCTCTGCTCTGCACTGTTTCTCCGCAAGACGTCCAACCTTCATAATTTAAAGAAAACCTTGAGAATGCCTGTTCCCATCCCCAAAGAACTGTCCTGAGGCATCCTCAGCTTGTCACAGGTAAAATGCCATTAGGACATCAGTTGGGTGACCTGCAACTCCACATGCATGGGAGGCCACCTACCACCACTCAGCCAAGGACATTCATTTTCCAAAATGTCCCCCCACGAACTCCCCCCAGATCACACTCGCCTTGTAGTCACTGTCAAAGACAGCCACAGCACCATTTGCTGGCAGGAAAATATCACTGTCCTTGCCTTGCCCTCTCAATCCAGCTGTTGGCAGTCTGCTGAA